AGCAGGCAGGCAGGAAGTAGAGAGCGTGAGAATGAGAGACAGTGACACAGAGAGAGACCAGGAGAAAGAGATGTCAAGCAAGGAGGAAGGGACACCTACTTTGCAGGCTCCTCCCCCAACAACTCACTTCCTCATATTTCGCTGTAGATTCATCAATGGAGTAGTCCACTAATAAGTGCTATCCCCCAAGATCCAGCTGCTATGCAGTAACCCTATATGTGAGTGCATGAGGCTTTAGGGGCACATCTAGATATAACTCATAATACCCACGTGCTTTTTATTTGTTTTAAGCAAGAGATTCTTCAGCTTCCATGAGGTGAAATGCATTTTACTAAGTTAATTTCTGTTGCTGCCTGACTACTCATTCAGTTTTAATAATAAATGACTACAATGAAATACTGATTCACTCATTGTTTTGCTTTTTATCTAGTAGACATTGGAATTAAAATGAATTTTAATGTAATTGTTACCAGTTATTATTCATTCTCAAGCTCATGAATTATGCCAAACTTTTCTATTGTACAAAATGGTAGCAAATTATAACAGCCTAAAATTTCAGGGCTTAAATTATGCTACATAATAAAAAATTTTCATTTGCTTATTACTTAGTGATATATATTCTCTAGGTCAGTTTCACAAATTTGTAAGATTTGTAAAATCTTCACGTGTGCTTAAAATCTAAAAGCAAATATTTGAACTTGTAAGGAAGTGATAATTAGCATAGGAAACAAATAGCAACACAAGGCCAAAAATGGTAACACAGCCTGTAATCCCATCTAATTTCAAACCTGAATGTCTAATCACTACCATCTCTTGTATCTTCCATTGCATTTTGTAATAGTTACCAATGTTATTGATATTGGTAATTATGCATTTGATCTGTTGATGACAATTGTTGGTATGTTTTGTTTGCAACTTAAATGCCTCAGGTATATCTAGCCTGTGACTGTAAACAGGATCACATTAAAATAAATACATGCATTTTATCAACCACCAAATCTTTAGCCTAGAATGTCCATAAGTATTCTGTTCCAGGACAAGAGTCCCATTAGCATTTCCACAGGTCTTTTATATACAACCACAGCCCAATTCTCCCAGGGAAGTTCATACTATGACTCTTGACTGAAGGTAAGAACTGCAGATGAGCCTCCCGTCCCTCCCTGGACACTGTTCCCTGAGATGTTCAGCCTCTGTACCTGAGACTGACTAAATAATCTGGACTTCTTTTCTTCTTCTGATGAATGATCTCTGTGAAACTGCATGGAATCAATATCTTGGAACAACTTGACATTCTAGCTACACAACTCTATTCTTATCTCCTCAAATCTATCAGTCCCTGAGATCTATTTTTGTATAGTTCTAATGGTAAAAAGAAATCAGTCTTTTTGTTGCCAGAAACATCTTTGCTAACCTAAGAATTTAAATTTTCATGCCTGAGAAAAGGAGTTTTGCAAGCTCAGGTCCTCAGAATCATTTGAGTCCTAATGGCAATGAATGCACCGATTACGTGAGATAGTTCTCACAAGACTGTTCTTTTAAACAGAATTGTCTGAAAATGGTCTCTTGTGCAATTAAGATACTCATCATACCCTATTGCAAACATTAACCATTTTTATTTTACTTATGAGTGAATGTATTTCATATCTTTAATTTCATATACTTATTAATGGAATAGATAAGTTTCCAAAACTAATTACTAGACTGATAGTATTTTTAAAATTTAATACAAATTACTCAATTTATTACACTTAATCCAGCTTCTAAAGAAAACATAAAGACATTTTATTCTTTATTTTAGAAGAGTAAAAATATAGAAACTTTCTATCCAATTTAAAGTGTAACAGTGTAAAAATAGGAAAGCACATGAGATCTCATGAAGTCTTGAGAGAGAAAGTACTATGGATATAGAGTCTTCCCTGACCTATTTTTTAATCTTACTCTTCAGTTTTTCTCTGATGAGCAGTCTAGTCAGTTCTTTGCTTAACTTTGTATCAGTCTTCCAGTGATCTTTGTAATGGAGAGTTATTTCAAATAGAATCCTACGGATGCAACATTGGAAAGGTTACATTGTATCCCACTGATGTATAATAGGGATGCAGTTAAACCCTGTATTACTTCATGATTATCATTACAATAGCAGAAGGACATTTTAGTTATCAAGACATTATTTAAGATGTTTCCATAGCAGAAATAATGAAGACCTATGGCACTGGGGAGATAGCTCAGTGGAATAAGTGCTTGCCTGGCAAGTGCAAGGTCCTGAGTTTGATTCCCTGGTACAAACAAAGAAAGACAGACAGACAGAAAGAAAGAAAGCTATCATAAGACCTATGACAACTAGTTATTTGCTTATCTGTTTTGCAGAATATAAAATGTACCACATTTGCTTGGTAAATATTTTTGCTTTGCAGTGTGGTAATGGTAGAAGCCCGTTGGGCTTTTGAGTTCTGATTCTATGCTCAATCTGCACAATTCTGAGATCCTATGATTCTATTCATGTCTCTGAAATTAACTTGGAGTCCATCTTGTCATGTATCCAAACTCATTTGGCCTCTACTTAGATAAATTGGAGTGCTTCTAGGTGGTTATACATATAAATAAATATACCTGAAAAAATGTTGACGTTTTCTTGTATGGAAGATCAGAAAATTCTATTTTGCTCTACAGAAAACTTTGAGTGTTTTAATTGTTACTTATTGGTACAATGAGGTATTTTAAGTACTTATGTTTACTTTTCATCAATAAACCAAGCATTCACTAATTCATTAGCTATGTATTCAACACCAGCTGTGCGCTAGTAATACTCGAGCAAGAAAACAGCGCTCAAAACAGGAAAGCCCTGGTTCTTAGTACCACAGGAAGGCAAGCAACACACAGGAGAGCAAATATGTAACAAAATGCCTCTGAAGAATGCTACATGTGATGAAGGAAATAAAAAAAATAGAGTGATAAAGACTTGTGAAGATGGCCCAGGGTGAGCCGCTCTTCAAAGGCACCAGATGTGATTGAAACCTATGAAACATGCTTAAGTTTTGACAGTTTCGTTATAGTAAACACACGTCATCACAAATCCTCTTCGTAGTACTCAACTTCACATTAGGCAAACTTGTTCTGTCATTCTTACCACTTGCTCAAGCAGTTCTACAAGTGTTCTTTGGTATCTTTATGAAGTGTGATTAAGAAAACACAGTAAATACTGCCCCAAACTCCCATCCAGTGGAAAGGCAGGCTCGCAAACACATCGCTATGCTCCAAACCCTGCATAGTCACTGAATCTGACGCTGTGCAGCGTCTGGCTGTGCTCTAAAGTCAAAATGACTGTGAAAAGTAAACCTGACAGGAAGGCGGCTTATGACAGCACAATACAGACACCTCTTAAGAAGACTTTCAGAGCTGCTTCAGGCAGTGGCAAGAACGGTGGAATAAGCATGCTGGAAGAGGCAGTATTGTGAGGGAGATTAATGACACTACATCATTTACTGCAATAGAAGGTTTTTTTTTTTTTTTTACAATTTTATTAAATTTATTCAGTATAAGAATTGACTGGCTGAAATGACACCTGCTCAAAGAATGCTCAAGATAAGATGTAAGCAAAACACGGCCCCAGTGATGCTTAGCGTAAACTGTTAAGTAGTTAACAAAGTAGTTTTGGTTAAAACAGCATAATAAAATGTACTGTTTGCAACAAAGAACATTAACTGATACAGCAATCAGCCTAAACTTTTCCCTCTCCTTCTATTCCAAAGCCAACAGAATTTATCAGACGCTACAGTGCTGAGGATTGAACCTAGGCCCTTTTACATACTTCAGTAGAGTTTTAAAATTGAATTGTTCACTATGGCTTTCATTGTACTTGGAGGCTGACTGATGACAAGCCTGCATCTGAATGTCTGACAGAACATTCAAGGCAGAGGAGCACAGCCCACCGTGGGCAAGGCAGTGGGCTGAGCACTTTCCAGTACTCCTTCCATGAGGACCCCTCATAGGCCTCTGAGTTTTATGGCTTACTCATTAGAATGACTGCTGTTCAGAGAATCTGAACTTTTGACAACTGACGGACTAGAACTCTGGGAAAGCCCAGCCGTGTAAAATGTTACTGATAAGAATGCAAAACAGTGCGTACACGTTTGCAAACCCATTCCATGGTACAAAACTACATCATGGGGCTTGACAGCTGTTCATGTCCAAATAATCTGAGGATTCTAATTGACCATAACTGGAGATCATTCTTTGTTCTTCCTGACCGGAGAGAATGACTGTAGGCATTACCCTTGGGCACATTCCGCTGCAGTTTAAGGTTTCATTAGAGTTGTTTAAAAATGGAACATCCTGTTTTGCAGGTACAGACCTCACTATTGAGCAAGAAAGCCAGAGAAAAAGAAGAAGAAATGGACTAGAGGGAAGGAATAC